TTTTTTTTTTTTTTTAGTCCAAATCATTGGGGGGGGGGGAAGCGAACCATTCCCCTGCCTTACGGCTCACCTGAGGAAGACAGGCTCCCCCTTTGCCTCCCACCCGGTGAAGGGTTTCCCCCTCGGACCAAGGAAAAGGGTTGTTAAATAACAGTGGGGTTTGTGTCCGCCCGATTTATGATTCGGCAATAACGTATCGGTGAAAAATATGATCTGAATATTTAAATAATTAATTGTTTTCTTTATTCTCCTCATTTCTTTTCGTCCCTGGCGTGGGGTTTCTCATTCAAAGCCCTTCCCCGAAGGTGCCTGCAGCCACCTCGGACTCACCGAGCTGAATATCGCGAATCCACCTCGATAGGTTTGGGACACCCTTGTAGAAACGTGATTTTTTTTTTCTTTTTCTGCCGAGATTACGTTGCAAACATTCGCAAACCTGCCTTTTCTCCAAAGCACCGTAATTTGTTAGAAACGTGACGTGCTCCCCTCTCTCTTTCCTTTGAGACCCAGTCGCTCGTCCCTAGATCTTGTTTGCAGGACACAGAAATGTCCCGTACGGTTTCGGGATTAGCGATCGCCGAGCTTGTATCGGACCCGCTAGGACCTGCCTTGAAATACAGCTACTTTTCCGCATATACATATATATATATATATATAAAAACTTTCCCCCGTATATATTTTTTTTTTTTACCTCTGCTAATGAGTCCAGTTTCGGCGGCGGGCGGAGGTTGTATTGAATTTTGAGAATTTCCCCGAAAGGCTGAAGTTTCTTTTCGACTGGTGTTTTTTCTAGATTAATTTTGGTTTGTTTTGCTCGGCGAACAGTCCCCAGGCGGAGCATGCCTGCGTAAAAAGAAGAAATACAGCGGCGGGTTTAATCGCCGACGACATCTGCCGTCCCCAAGCCTGCGCCGAGCGTCCCCGTCAGAGGGGCACCCCTGCCAGCAAGGTACGGGGCCGCTCCTATTTTGCGGGTAAAAGCAGAATTGCGGGAGGCGAAAACGGGTCACATCGCCCGGGCTCCCCTGTGCCACCGTTTCGCTCAGGCTCTTTTTTTTTTTTTTTTTTTTTTTTTTTTTTTTTTT